TACTCTTAAACAGTTCAGGGAAAAATCTGTGTGTGTCTATGTGTATATATAATATAAATGTAGGGAGGAGAGAGAATGGAGGAGAATGATAAAGCAAAAGTGGTAAAAAGCTAACATTTGGGAAATCTGCACAAAGACTATACAGGAATTCTTTGTATTACATCTGCAACTTTTCTATAGTCTGAAGTTATTTCACAATAAATTTTTTTAAAGAATAAATATAAAACATCAATGTAGGGCCCGGCCCGTGGCTCACTTGGTGCTGATAACACCAAGGCCAAGGGTTCGGATCCCTATATAGGGATGGCCGGTTAGCTCATTTGGTAGAGCGTGGTGCTGACAACACCAGGTCAAGGGTTAAGATCCCCTTACTGGTCATCTTAAAAAAAAAAACAAAAAACACCAATGTAGCTGTTTGAGTACTGTGTGCCAGGATGTCTACTGCTCGTTCTGCTCTGGCTGCGCTAGCCCTCTGTAGGAAATCCTTATGCCACCTCTCTCCCTCTTTTAAAAAAATTTGTCTTGGATTTTATAAATTATAACTTTATACATTGTTTGTACAGATTTCAACAATAGAAAATTGTGCAGAGGTTTGTGCCCCTGCCATGTACCACCGCCAAGGTTACTGCTATTAACATGTTGGTTGTCTTATTATAAACATTTCTTGATTTGCACAGATAGACAACTATACGTGTACACACATACGTACAGAGTCTCCTCTCCCCTCTATCCCCACACTACTAAACGTTGTTGAGCATCTTTAACCTAATATAGCCATCACATCTTTCTCAATAAGTATATATTGCTCTGCCTCATTTCTACCATCTTTTCTCTAAATGCATGATTCCATTTTCTTTAAGACTTGTTGTCAAAGACTAACAGACTGGCTTTCATATTGTAACAAATGGACAGGACTTCATCAGGCATCGGGGCACTCTGAGGACCTCAGTGACAGGAGTTTGGAGTCCTTTTCTCTGGGGAGAGGCTTTTATGGTGACTCAGCTCCTGCCACATCCATTTTCTGTATCTCTGCACTCAAGGTTGAAATCCCCAAAAGAGTAAAACATGTTTGATCACTCTGGGCAGCATCTCTTCCTTAAGTAGTCAGCTATGGTGAGAGGAACAAGGGCAGAGAACACAGACATTGGCCCCTGGGTGCCGTTCCCAAAGACAAAGGAAGGACCAGCAGTGCAGCCATCCCACCTGACCTCTCTTCCCAGGACTGCTCCAGTTGCTTCATGTCTCTTCTGTTGCAGTCTGTGCATCGAGTCCATCTTCCTTACCACCACTAGAGTTATCCTTCACTACAGTGACTCTCAAATGTGATCTCTATACCAGCAGCATCAGCATTACCTGGGGACATGATAGAAATGCAAATTCTCGGATCCCATCCCATACGTACTGAATCAGAACTCTGGAGGTGGGCCCAGCACTCTGTATTTAGAAAGCCCTCCACTTGCTTCTGATGCACGCTATGATGCACATTTGAGGATCACAGCTCTACTACATAAGTCTGATCATATTATTCACCCATTTTTAAATTTTTTAATGGCTCAGCCATGCACACACTCTAAAGTCCTCACTTTATAAGAGGTCCTTTGTGATCTCACCCCACCCTGCTTGTGCAGTCATTCCTCCCCCCCACACATACCCCCCCACACATGCACCCTCTGCATCCTGTCACAGAAATTTGCTGAGCCCTTTCCTGGACTGTCACCTGGTGAACTTCTCTTCCATCACTTCCTCTGTGATGCCTCCTTTGGCCCCCCAAGCACTTTCTGCCTTGAGTGAAACTGCCCTGGTATATTCTTACGGCTACCAAGAATACAGTATTTGTCAACAGTGTCTGTTTTCTCCCAGAGTTTGCCCTTGAGAGTTCAGCCTCTATCGATCATTTTGAACCTGGATTGACTGAGACTGTTGGGTGTCCTAGTAGTCAGATCAGGTGGCTTGTAAGTAACTGTTTATCCTCAAATTATTAACATACTGATATCCAGAAACGGTCCTTTCTGGTCCATGTAACTAGCACACCAATTAACATTTGGAAGAGAAGTTTCTCTGTTCGTTATGAGAAGGGTTTTGCTGAATTATAAGAGAGGAAAAAGTTGATTTCAAAAGGCACAGGTTTCCCCTTTTCATTTGGCAGAAATCTTATCCTGACAGTATTTAATATGAAGTTACTGTAGCCAGAGAAGCTTCTTATTAGGCTTTAATGAAAAGCACAAGGTATTTTTTTCATACCCCCTCCTCCTTTCTAACGTCCTCTTTTTTTGTCTTTCTTTCTTTTAATGAAAAGCACAAGGTATTTTTTTCATACCCCCTCCTCCTTTCTAACGTCCTCTTTTTTTGTCTTTCTTTCTTTTTCTTTCTTTTCTTTCTTTCTTTTTTTTTTCTTCCTCTTCACTTCCATGCTCTTTCTTCCCCTTTTCCTCTCTCTCTCCTCTTCATCATCTTTTATTTAAAATGGTTTTGGCTTGGCTAATCCCTATGGATAGAAACTTAGCCGAGCAGGATATTGATTACCAAATATGGTCCTGCTGCTAAAGATGTTAGAGGAATGTGGCTTGTATTCTAAGCCTCCGGCCTCTGAATAAGCTGCCAAACAAATTAGGTCATTTTAACTTCTGGGCTTTTTTTTTTTTTTTTTTTTTACTAAGGATGCTGGAACTTTGATTTGGAACATGATGTTGATGTTATTTTAGTTCAGGTGGGAGGAGGGTATGAAGGCGAGGAGCAGGGAGTAGAGGAGACTCGGTTGAGCATGTTTTAGGACGCGACCTGCCAGCCCAGGTTGTAAAAGAGGCAAGCGCATTGTGTGGAGTCTCAGTTGATTCTGGAGTACCAGTGAAAGAGCTGGGGCATGGAATTCAGATGTGCAGCCTTACTATCTTGAGAAATAGAAGCTCCAGAGGACTACAGACAGTTCCCAGTATGCTCTTCTCATGTTACCCCCAGTGGCCTGGACCACAGTTACTCACATTGATGTGCTCTCAGGTTTAGGAAAACCACTTCTTCACAGGAAGGTTTGTAGAGTTTAGTGTCAGGGAGGACACCCTGAAATTGATGGCAAGTTGCTATAATGTGTTTCTGATGGGGTATGGTGTAAATGCACAAGTCCTTCCCCATCATACCTTTAAATGACAGTCAGGGACTTTGCTTGTTTCTCAGCAAAGACCACAGTTCTTAGGTCCATATTTGGAAATATTTATTCTGTTGTGATATTAGCTTTGATAGAGTGAAATGCTTTTAAGTGGAAGCTGGTGGAAGCAAATGCTGCTTCAGAATGCAGCTGGTTTTTTCCTTATATATGTTTCTGGCAAGATAATACTGAGGTTTCCCAAATTAAAAAAAAAAAAAAAAAAAAAAAGACCAGTTTAAGAAAAGTTTTTTGCTTAACAAATCAGATACCCCCTTTTCACTTTCTGGTGTCGGTTAGGTCTACACATGTGCATTCCTTTTTTATTTTCTTTCCCCTTTTACCAGCCAAAACTGGTTTCTTAGGTTGAATAAATCGGGCTCACAAAGAAATTCCACCCACTCCAAGTCATCTCTGGGTCAGGGCTCTGTGGCTTTTGCTGTACTTCCCTTGAGTACCTCTGTCTTCTTCCCCTTTCTCCCTCATTTCCTCTTACTGCCGTTTACCACCCAGTCACAGGTTCTTCCTTGCATATTTGGAGCAGAGCTGTGAAGTTCAGTGTCATTCATCCTGGTCTACAGAGTGAGAGAGTCTTACTCATTTCTTGTGGAAATGGCTCTTGTTTTTCTTCAAGCTAATTAAGAATAAGAAGGGGGTTGAGGCTCTCAGGCCCATATGTGTACATTCAGAACACTAACTGGAAAACCTATATTCTTAGGATGCTGATTTTCAGGACTGCAGTCCCTTTCTAGAATATACTATACAAACAAACATGGGACCTGAATCTATTTTGGATGCACACTCATGCACTATACTGGAATGTCTTTTTTACACCATTGTTGGGGTCCAGAATTCGTGGCATTTGACACAGTTATTGTGAGGTTCTTTTTTAAGATCAGTAATGAAGGCATTCTTGAGTGGGGAGGGGATGTCCAAAATAGACTTTTTTCTTAAATCTCGTCTCTTATACTGTTTGTGATTTATTTTGTTGAATATGATTTGTTTTAGATAAATTTCAGTAATAGGGTCAGGGGTAATGTAAATTACTGTTACCTCTTTGGCTTATATAATCATTTGTCTCTCCATGTAGGTAGTAAGGCTTCACCACATCAAGACATTCAGATCTTACATAAATTTATAAGCTAACTGGAATCAAATTAAACTAATTATATTGAATCTTTTTTGTTTTTTTTTTTGCTGCCGGCCGATATGGGGATCTGAACCCTTGCCCTTGGTATTATAGCACTGCGCTCTAACCAACTGAGCTAACTGGCCAGCCCTAAATTGAAATCTTACAATTCTTTTAAATCCTGTCTTCTGAGCAATGCACAATACTTGTATTACCTTTATAAAGCTCTGCAGTTAGAAAGGGATGGGAATATTCTTCTCCATTTATAGTTAGTGAAACTAAAAGCATTAAAGAATTACGTGGTTTTAAGTCACTTAAATAGAACACTCGTCAGAGCCCAGGCCTCTTAGAATTTCAGGTGTCAGACTCAAGTATCGTACAGTATTTTACATTAATTATTTTATTTAATTGGTAGCCATTTATAAAAATTTTTACTGTGCTAGGAATTTGCTGATCCACATTTTAAATCTTGAACTAGAAGGTTTTTGTCCAAGAAGAAAAGGCATAGTTGAAAATCCATGTAACAAGATTTTTAAATCTAGTAAACTAAATCCCTCTGACTTTCTGGGCACATATTGTGAGTTTTCTTGTATTCCGTGTAAGCAGTGAGAATGGGAGCTCTTTCTGACCTTCTTTCCTCATAGTCCAGGGTTTACTGGTATGTTTATTTTGTCACCATTCCGGTTTGACTCTAAGGAAATGAAAACCTCTTCCATTTGTTCTTTATTTCTAAAGGGCATCCGCTTCGATCCTGAAATTCCGCAAACACTACGACTAGAGTTTGCTAAGGCAAACACGAAGATGGCCAAGAACAAACTAGTAGGGACTCCAAACCCCAGTACTCCTCTGCCCAACACTGTACCTCAGTTCATTGCCAGAGAGCCATGTAAGTTGATCTACTATTCCTTTTGGGGGAAAAAAATTATGTATTGTTCATATGCTTATGTGCGATCACACCACAGGACACAGAGCTGGCTGAGTCTCACTTTCCATGTCTGTGAAGAGGCTGCCTTTTCTTGCTGTCTGAATTCCAGTGCAGCATCTTGTTGGTGATTGGCTGTCCCAAAAGATGGCTCAAGTTGAGCAGAAGCATAAGTTCAAAATTTTTTTTGATGTTCTGTAGATTTCCTTACTGTGATATTGATCATTGCAAGTATGCCCTCACTTGCCTTCTGCTATATACCCTTCTAGATTCCCCCATCCTTGGATGTGAAAGCTGGTTCTTACCATTCACTTTTTACTCCATTGTTGAAGGATATCAGTTCTGTGGCTTCAGAAAAATAGGATATTAAAAGTGAAAGAAGCAGATCTTAGGAAGTTGGTTCTATTTTTGAGAAAAATTTAGCCATAACTCTAGGGAGAAAAGTAAACACACACAAAGAATGTATATATTGGAACAATCAGTTGTAGCAAACTAATATCAGTAAAGCTTTAAGGAAATTTTGGGCTTCCCATTAATTGGGTAAGGACACTTGCCAATTGTCAAACAAGTGTTTTATCCCACATTAATGAGCTTCTTGCATTAAATGTCCAGACTACAATTTCTGCCTTTGAATAACTTAAAAATGTTGTCTTAATTTTTTTTCTAAGTTCAATGAGTGGGAGAAGAGAGGTGTGAGATAGGGCATTGAAAGAAGCCCAAGTGACTTGCAGTTATTTTGGAATATTTCTGTTCTGTTGTTCTTGATCTTTACAAACCATGATGGTGATCTTCTTCCTGCTTTCCCCAACAATACACTTCAACTCTTCCTATTGAAATTGAAATGCACGTGAGTTCCTTGCTCCCCCCATGTCATATGTAGTCAGAGTTAATCAGGTTATTATGGAACTTACAGTCATTTTGTAGCTCAGTCACTTTTGAAAAAGCTATTTCTTGTCAATGGAAACTGATAGGTAAGAGTTTCTCCTCCAGTATGTTCTAAAATAAAGTTTTCTATGAAGCCAAAGTCATACTAGAGGGAAAAAATTGTTTTGCCCTTTCAAGTCCTAGGGAAACTTGAAACTTTTGTTTATTTGGGAAGAAAATCTAAAATTTCTCCTCCAGTATGTTCTAAAATAAAGTTTTCTATGAAGCCAAAGTCATACTAGAGGGAAAAAATTATTTTGCCCTTTCAAGTCCTAGGGAAACTTGAAACTTTTGTTTATTTGGGAAGAAAATCTAAACAAAAGATTCTCTGCAGTATGGGAAGATATAGGGACATTCTTTATATAATTCTTTATCCTTACAGCATCTAGCTCAGTGCTTTGTATATATTTAATATTTATTACAAAGTAGATAAACCGAGATTTGAATTTAGCTATTTGTAGATTTATAGAAGCATTTGTACATCTCTTTATTTCTCTCTCAGATTTCTTCTCTCTTGATCAAGGCATCAGAAATGAGTATTTTTAGGATGCCTTGATTTAGAGATAAACTAGGGTATTTTAATGAATTTGCCTGCCTCAGATCTCAGAGTCCTTTTTGAAAAGACTAATGAATTAATCTTTTATAGTATTATAGGAAGTGTGATGCTGGTGATACTTAAACTTTATTCTTTCAATTCTTTGCTGAATGCTTTTTTTTTCTTTTTTCTTTTTTTGTGGCGGCTGGCCAGTTCAGGGATTGAACCCTAGACCTTGGTGTGATCAATACCACATTATAACCAACTGAGCTAACTGGCCAGCCTGTCTTTACAGAAATGTACGTTTCTGTATGAATGCTTTTCTTTTCCAGACCTCAAAACTTTTTCTGAATTTGCTATCAATAGCCCTATGAAATAGGTAGCTAGGAAAGTGGTAGCCAGTTCACAACAGGATATACAAAAGCAACAGAGATGAACAGGGACACCCATAAGTCCCTGAAGTTACAGGAGAATTTAGAACTCCACTCTAGCCAGCTCTGCTTAACTCCCTTCACTGTGTACGGAACAGCTCAAAAATGGTCGCATAGTTTCCATGGCATAGTCAAAACTTGCCCGCTGCTCATAGCAAAACAAACTTGAAGTTAAAAAAAGAAAACAAGCCAAACAGCCAAAAGTGTATTCTTGAGAAAATAACAGTTAGCATGATGTGTTTAAATATAGCTCCTTTTTACGACACAGGGGCCTGATGAACAGCAACTCCACTGTGATTCAGAGAGAGCTTTATCATCCATTCCCGTTTTCTCTGAGGATTGTGAACTTCCTTGTCACGTAAACAGAGTCATTGCCTTCCTGGAAGCACACTGCAGACTGTGAACACTGTGGTGGGTCTAGACTTGCAAATCAAGTTGTATTGTGTCCCTTATTGTTTCGTGAGGTGGTCAGTTTAACCACCCGTTGGGTGTGGACTATGATGCAGTTATAGAATTTTGGGGTTGGAAAAGCCCTGAAGGCTTCTTGGTTGTAGGCCATGAGAGGTTTTCATAAATGCTTCTTTCTGTTAATGTTTTTGTATGGTAGTGTCTGAAAAGCACTCATTGCCATCACTACAAGAAGAATGTTCTATGATTTGATTATACAACAAACATTTACTTGAACTCTCAATTCTCAATAAATTTCTGTTGAACTTAAATGACCACCCAGTGTGCTAGACACTGAGCAAGAAGGAAACTGTGGTTGCAGCCTTAAAAGATCTGTCAGTCCGGGGAATTGACGGCAGTCAAAGCTCTCTGAAAAACTTGGCCCCATATAAAGGACAAAGGAAATTCTGCAGCTTAGTCTGGCTTATCCCAAATCAGACTGCCTTATTTGCTGAGCACCTACTCTGTTTGTGCCAGGCATGAAGAATGAGAAAACCAGATACTGCTACTTGCCAGGGTAGATGGTGGTCTGCTGTGGAGAACTGTGGCTTTAAACTGGGAGATGTCAGTGAGAGTTCTGGTTCTGCCAGTTATTGACAAGCTTCGTGACCATTAAGAAAAATATTTAAGCTGGCTGGTTAGGTCAGTTGGTTAGAGCATGGCGCTGATAACACCAAGGTCCAGGGTTTAATCCCTGTACTGGCCATCAAAAAAAAAACAAACTTTGTTGCGCTCCTGTTCCTTCAGCTGTAAAATGGGAATACTTTCTTTACGTGATTATTATAAGACCTAAATAAAACAATATTACAGGATTGCATTGAAGATTAAATAAGTGTAATATACGTTGAGTACTAGGCAAATGTAAAGTGCAATCCTAATGTTTAAAGAAAAGCATTAGGTTGCCTATTTTTCCTAGTAGAGAAGATATTGATCTTCTGAGGTGACATCATAGTGTGGCTGTAGCCAACTCTCTTTGCAAGTTAGGAGAAAAGATGAATGAAATTCACATACAATCCCAGGAAAGTAGTATACCTTCCTAGCTAAATTTTCATTAATAGGGTTATTAATTTGAGCTTTTTCTTCTTTTACTCCCTTGAATGTAATAAAGTTTGGAAAAAGCATTGAGAAAGTAGGAAATAAGATGTGGAAAAATGAGTTATGGAAAATTCTAGATTTTGCATTAGGTTGTACAGAAAAGTAATATTCTGTAGTGTGGGAACCCTGCCTTAGAGATGAAAAAGGGACAAATCACCATCTCTAATTTTTGTTTTCCACATCTGTAAAATGATGATACTGTGTGCCAGACACTGCTAAGCATCTTACATGAACTGTCTCATTTGATTCTCAGTAGCACTATTTTATAGTTGAAGAAACAGGGGACTAGGAAGGTCTAGTACCTTTCTTGAGGTTACACAGTCATCAAGCGTTATGGGCTGAACTGTGTCCCCCAAAATTCATATGTTGATGTTCCCAACCCCCAGTATCTGAAAAGGTAACCATATTTGGAAAGATGCGATTAAGTTCAATGAGGCCATTAGGGTACGGCCCTAATCCAAAACGACTGGTGTCCTTATAAGAAGAAAAAGGTACATCAGGTACATATGCACACAGAGAAGGCTGCGTGAGGACGTAGGAGAAGGCAGCCGTCTGCAAGCCAAGGAGAGAGGCCTCAGGAGAAACCAAACCTGCCAACACTTTAGTCTTGGACCTCAACTTCCAGTCTCTAGAGCTGTGTGAAAATAAATTTCTATTGTTTAAGCTACCCAGTCTGTGGTATTTTGTTATGGTAGCTCTGGTAAATTAATATATCAAATGATAGAGCCTGGATTTAAAATCTGGCCTGTCATTTACTTGTTTTGTAAATGACTAAACTTGGTTTAGTTTCTTAACGTCTATCTCAGTTTTCTCAGCTATAAAATGGCAATCATAATGGTGCCTACCCATAGTGTTCTGTGGGTTAGATTAATAATAATGTACGTAAAAGTTAGAAAAGGGCCACATAGGCACTACTTGGTGACTGTTGATGTGTCGTGTATGTTTGTGTGCCAATTGTTCCTCGTAATTGAGACCTGTGGTTTTCTTCATTTGTGTACATAGGTGCACGTCTAGCACCTAGAAGTACATGTGGAATTTTTTTTTAAGATGCCACAGATTTATTTTCATACTTTTTAATTTGCTCATAATTGCCTTATTCCCAGCAATCGTAGAGGGAGGTGTACCTCAGGGAGCTTTTTAAATTTATGCTGTTATTAAGGTATAATTGGGATTTGATAAAATGCACATATTTAAGACATCTAATTCAGTAAGTTTTGTCATAATACAAGGGTACTTCAGAAAGTTCATGGAAAAATAGAATTGAAAGATAATACGAGTCTTTCCGTGAAAACTTTTTGAAAGAGCCCTCGCACATGTGGAATTTAATTGAATAAATACTCTTTTTTTTTTTTCCTTTTTGTCTTTTTTCGTGACCGGTAACGAGATCGCAACCCTCGGTGTTGCATCCGTACTGCGACCGGCAACAGGATTGCAACCGTCGGTGTCGCGCCTGCACCACACTCAACCAGTTCCTTTGTGTCTTTTTTCGTGACCGGTAACGAGATCGCAACCCTCGGTGTTGCATCTGTACT